GCCGACATCCACCGCCATATGAAGCATAAGACTTGGCCATGCAGATCGGAGGGTCGCCACTTCACACCCCTCCCCTTCATCCGGAAAACTCCCGACGACCCACTGGTCCCGACAAAACCCCCCAAGAACCACCTATCCATATTCTCCACGATAGCTCAATCACCGTCTCCGGTGGCGGGCACCGATTTCGCCGTGCTACTGTACGACGTTGTCTCGAGGATTGCAACGTCGTTCAGAAAAAAAAGGTGCTAAACAGGATCATTCACTAGGAGTGTAGTAAACATATGCACAAATTATATGTTAGCTATACACAATATATACTGTGTTGTTTTTGGAGTGCCCAAAATTGTTGATTGAACTTTGTAAATGTCATGTAAAGTTGAAATATGTTTGAATTGATAAGTTTTAAGTTCAATTCGGTGTTATGTAAAGTAGACATATGTTGTTTATCTAATGTATAACTACATTCGGTTTGAATTTTGCAATCATTCGGAATTGTGTATTATATTTATTGATCGTTTTAGTGTTGTTTATATGATGTTTATCATATATATAACTATATGATTAATATTAGAGAAATGTTAGATCATGTTTATCTAAGTGTTGTTTATATGATGTTTATTTTATGTATAACTATACAGTTAATATCAGAGAAATGTTAGATCATGTTTATCTAATGTATATATATATATATAGTATATCTAAACATACTTTGTGGTTATGTGGAAGTATATATACAGTATGTCTGAATTTTTTTAACAAAATTATTCAACGGACAGAGAGAAAAAAACATAAACATGAAGAGAGAAACAAATGGAGAGAGAAACGCATCAGATTTGGTGCGTTAATTGCGAGGGCCATCATGCCATGCTCATTATATGGAGAGAGAAACTATCAGATTTGATACCACTAATCAATATATGAAGAGAGTAACGGATTTGCTGATTGGAATCCAACTCTCGTACAAATGAAAATAAAATCACTACTCATTCCTATTTTGATTAGTTTTTCGACAGATAGTATATATGTATATATATCTATATAGGTGGATACGTATGTAATTTTCCCATAAAATTCTGGGAAATTTTTAGTCCTCCTATAAGATATACACATATTTTTAAATTTACCTTCATATGAAAGTATTTTCAATTATACCTAATGAAGCTAATTTATTTATGAGATTGCATCTATAGCAGTTACCATATATATTCAACTTCCATCTCCCTTTTTGTGGACTTGATTAAGAGAGAGAAAAGAAAAATAATAACTGATTCATTTATTAAATTCACGCAACTTGTACATTGTAATTCAAGCAGCCGCCAGGTAGTATATTTTGAGTTTATGTTAGTATATATTCAGTGTATGTTGCAATATTATAATTCACGCAGCCGCCAGGTGGTATATTTTGAGTTTATGTTAGTACATATTCAGTATATGTGCAATAAAAAACAAGTCTTCCACAAAAAATATATATCTTTTTTTTTGTACTTTTTATACGTAAAAGTATAAAGAAACATATTATAACATTTACTTATATTCCATATACAAACAAAACTTCTAATATGTTGAACATATATTGAACATATACTCCATATATACACAACATATACTGAACAATAAAAAATTATGTCTTTTTTTTTTAACTGGAAATATACGCAAAAATATACCCAAAAAAACGAGGACGTGAAATTTTATACCGAAAAAACGAGGACGTGAAATTTTATACCGAAAAAATTATGTCTTCTAATATACCGAAATTTTGGGGGGAATTATTACCTGACATACACCAAAATATACTTCAAATATACTAAAAATGTGTAACAGGTGCAGGAAGTTAGTGACAAAGTGTATAGCATAGAAAAAGAAAAGATAATTCGGATAGAGAGAAAAGTTACCTCAGATATACCCACCAGATAACCAGATAACCAGAGAAAAGTTACTTCGGATATACTCGGATATACCCAACATATAACCCAAGAAAAAAAGGAATTATTAAACAGATAACCGGAGAAAAGTTACTTCGGATATACTCGGATACACCCAACATATACCCAACTCGGTTTGTAAATATACCTTCGAATTATATACATTTTCAACGCATATGTGCAAAGGTTACAAATTCTTAAACACCCACAAAAGCTCAAAGCTGTTATTATTAAAAGAAAAATCAAATCATACAAGAAAAAAAAAAGAAAAAAGTGGCAAATTCTAGGAAACACGAGACGGATTCTTCTTGTCATCCACTCAATTTTCAGATTCATTCACAAGCGTAATAATAGACAAATTTTATGATTTGCCGGTGAGTAGCTGAGGCTGGGGGGCCTTATCTTCGGCGGCGGGTGGCTGGTGGCGGTGAGAGGGGGCGTCGGTCATGAAATAAGGGTGTTTGGTAAGCATGAGCGGCTGATCCTTAGCTTCCTCGTCATCGTCCAAGTCGTCGTCGTCAGTAGACACGAATGTAAATCAGGGCCGGCCCTGGGCCAGGGCAGCATGGGCCGTAATGGGGAACCTTCTATCAGCCCATATACCATTCATATATCCACATTACATATATTTAATGTTTAATATATGTATAAAGTAGTGTGAAGTGCATTT